TTTTTTGTGTGTTTGTTTCTTCTTTCTCATGGTTTCTCCCATTGGTTCTAATTCTTCTTTACAACATGACTAATGTGAAAAATAGGTTTAATGTGATAATGTATGTTGAGCTTATATCAATTTACATGCTATCTTGAGGTGGGGGGAAGGGGAAGATTGGGAGAAAATTTGGAACTCGAAATCTTATAGAAGTAATTGTTGAAAACTAAAAATAAATAAATATATATATATTAATTTAAAAAAATCTTACACTTGAATAAGGGGACAATACATAGAAGGGAATATAGGTGAAGAAAAAGTATTTTGGTCTGAGAAGTCAAATGCGTGGTGAATAGAGTGATAGGGGAGTTGAATGATACTTCCTCTCCAGAAGCAAAAGCAATATTGTTTGAATATATGTCCCAGTAAATGAAGTAGAAGGTAGAGCTTGGTTCTATGGTGGACACCTTATAAATGAGTTAATTAAGTCCCCTAAGGCATGGTTTCTGGAAGTCCAGAGAGTATAAGAGTAGTTTTGATCCCAGGAAAATGTTGTAGTGGACAGCCAGATGTCATAAGAAGCATGGTCCATCCTGAGGCCAGTTAGACATGGAAGGCTACATGAATTTATACTAACTCACCTATCAACAGAGGGCTGGAGTTTCAGAGGTGAGCAAATTAACTCATTCATGAGATGGATGTATGGGATTTGAATAGGTAGAAGTATAAAATCAAAACTTAGTAGAATGTAAGCTCTTTGAAGACAGGAGATGTTTCATTTTTGTCTTTGTAATCCCAGTATCCAACACAGTATTTTGCTTATATTAGGGGCTTAATAAATGTTTGTTTAGTTGAATCAAGTTGAATGGAGTGGAGAGTATAATCCAAATGAGATAAATGAATTTATTAGGGTGAAATGAAATGTCAAATACCAAGGTCATGGGGAAAGCCAAACAAATAAAGTGAAGAAACATGTTGGGAAGAACTGGAAAATAAGGATTGGTAGGCAGGATGGAGTCAGACTATGGAAGACCTCAAAAGTCAAGAGGCAGATATTAGATTTATAATGGTGCAAATTGAAAACATTTTACTTGGCTAGTTTCAGATTGAAGCATTTTTCAGCCATAGAAAAAAATCCCAAAATATATCTACCAAGTCATGTGAGAGTTGTCTGCATTGTTGTTGTTGTTCAGTCATTTCAGTTGTATCCAACTCTTTGTGACCCCATTTGGGAGTTGCCATTTTCTTCTTCAACTCATTTTATAGATGAGGAAACTGAGGCAAACAGCATTAACTGACTTGCCCAGGTTTCACACAGCTTCGAAATGAGGCTGCATTTGAACCCAGGAAGATGAATCTTCTAACTCTAGGTCCATCACTCTATCTAGGTTCCATCTAATTGTTAATGTTATCTGAGTTATGGGAAGGATAACTCACATTGATGAAGTCAGATATGCATGAAACATAGTAGGAAATCAGGAGTCATCAACAGTTTTTGAGCAAATGAGTGAGGTAATGAAGGTAATATGTAAGGAAGGCTGGTCTAGTCCTATGTACAGCATAGATCTCAAAGAGGAAAGAATAGAGTCAGGAAAACCAAGTACTGCTATTCAGGTATGCAATTGTGATGAAACAAGGAAATTCCAGGCTCTTTGACATCCAAGTGAAAGACAAATCTTTGTGCAAAGGGGCTTCCATAGTCCTAGTGTGAGGAGAAGAAAAGGTATGATTATGGAATGTACATGATAGACAACTAGTAAATGCTATATCTAAGTTAAATTTCCGTGGGTAAACATTGTTTTAGACTTAGTTTTAGGTTGTTGTTTTTTTTTTTTTAAATAATGAAAGCAATAGTTAAATGTGAAATAACCCATGTTATTGCCTCAGGGATATGACCAAAGATGAAATTTAAGCTTTTACAAGCCCACTGATGTGCCTGGTATTATTCTATGCAGTTTGGTATCGACCGGGTGGTATTCCACAAGATGGCCGTATGGGAAGTAACTGGAAAATCTGAACCTGAGGATTCAGTTGAAACAATTGCTGAAGCTGTGTCCTGCCATGGCCTACACTAGATATTCTTTAATAGAGCCAGAAGTTGAAACCAGACTGCCTTCACAGAGCAGGGATTCAAACATTTTAGTGAGATGGGGAGAGTCTCCAGAATCTCATGAGCCTCTTTGCAGAATAATATTTTAAAAGTATTAAAATAAAATACAAAGTTTTAGAGAGGAAAACAATTATTTTGAAATGCTGTTATTGTTTTGTTTTCTTTTTTTTTTTAAGTTCACAGACTACAGGTTAAGAACTCCTCTAAGTTAATAATCTAGGATTTCAGGGGAAAGAAATTGGAGATGCAGTAACCAAAATTCAGTGTAGGTAAAATCCAATAAGAAGTTTAACAGCTCACACATAATTAATAGGAGAAATTAGAAAAGAACCTTGTTGGAAAGAATCTGTAGAAGGTTTCTCCCCTCAAAGTGACCTTGTAATCTATCAGTCATTAATGTGATAGCAAAGAGCATGAATGCCACCCTGTGGCTACTTATAGAAATTATGCTTAATATGGCATAATTTTGCATAATGATATGGTAATGAGGTATTATTAAAAGAAATCACGCAGATGTCAGGAGAAGTATGGGCTGCCCAGGTGAATAGTCATCACTGTTCAGCTCAGGGAGAATTTAACAGGAAAGTTGGGGGAAATGTCTGCTAAAGTCTCATTCCATGAAAATAGAAGAAAGTTCCTGTTATAGAAACCTAAAGAATAATCTGTGCAAATTTAAATGGAGAAAACATGCAATAATACTAACCTAATTCAATTAAAGAACAGAACATGTAAGTTTCCTCAATAATATTGGGCATGTATATAAAATATACACACAGACTCTCACACACACAATCACCTACATTTATACACACTTGTTCACATGCTTTCACATACATTTGCATTATTCTTCTGGTATTTTCTGGGACAGCAAGCAAGGGCTTGAAAAGTAAAAATCAGGGGCCAAATGGGTACAAAACCAGCTCAGTGTTGATTTTTTGGTTTATGTTTGACCAAGAAATTGGGATTTGACCGAGTCTTCTGAGTTAGCAGGTTTAGGTGATAGCCAACCTGTTCTCAAGTTCTATCATTTTGGCCTTAGCATTATCTCTTCTCTCCTCTGTCACTGCTACAACCTTGGCTCATGTCCTGAAAAACTCATAAATGCGCTATTATTATATATAGCCTGCTGTTTGGTCTTTCTTCCTTAAGTCTCTTCCCTCTTCAGTCCATCATCCATCTAGCTGTCAAATGGATGTTCCTGCACTGAAGGTCTGACCATGTAGCCTTGCATTCCGTGAACTTCAATTATTCCCTTTCACTGCTAGGGTCAAAAAACAAAGCCCTTTATAACTTCCTTTCCTCCTATCTTTGAAGTGTTCTTAAACTTACTCCTTTTCATGTACTCTACCATCCAGTAACACTGGCTTCCTTGTTGTTCCTCTCATGACACTTCCATTTCCCAACTCCAGGCATTTCCCTTTACTGCCCCTGTTTCTGGAATTCTCTCTCTTCTCTGCTTTCTGGCTTGCCTAGCTTCCTTTGTTGTAGCTAAAGTACCATCTTCTACAAGAAGCCTCTTCCTAAACCCTTAATGCTAGGTCATTCCCTTTGCTGATTACGTCCAATAATATATACATATACATGTATATATATGTGTATGTGTAGATGTGTGTATATATGTATGCATATGTGTACATATGTGTACATATGTACATATACACATATATACACATATACACACATCAATAAATTTTGGGGTGTTATAAAGTTGTTCTATCTTCTCCATTAAACTGTGAGCTACTTGAGGGCAGCACCTACCTTTTGCCTTTTTTGTACGCCCAGTTCTTAGGACAATACCTGGCAAATAGTAGATGCTTAATACATGTTTGTTGATTAGCCTTCACTTCGACTCACTTAGCCCTCTGGAAGGTCCATAAAAACCAGATTCAATGGTGCATTTCTTCCCATTATGTTTGTATTTAGATTTTTTTTACATTATCTTTTCCATTGCATTACGAGCTTTTATAAAGAATAGGGGCAAATAGGCAGAGCTCCTTGAAATCAAGATCTAAAGGAAAGAAATATTACAACTGCTGTCTTGTGTCACCATAGTAACATAAGCTCTAAAATTATTTAATCCACTTTCAAATTCTATCTCCGAGGTGAGCAGAATCAATGTAAGAGAAGAAATATTAGGGTGGTGATGGCCAGAAGAATATTTAAGTTGTAATGTCAGTGTTCCACACTTCAAGAATAACAGCATGAAGATTTGTGTCAGGTTTCTGTTTTATTTCACTTAGGTGTGCTTCAGTTTTCCAAATGAAAGAACAAAGGGTCACTGGGAGGAATAACGAATAGTTGATTTAGAATAAATGAAGCAGGGGGAATATTACCTCACAGTGAATTCTGCAAATATACAGAAACGGTTCTTTATCACCATTCTTAGAGTCTATCTATTTTGTTTTCTGCACTATCCTTTACTGACCTTGTTGTTCTCAGTCTAGTCACCCTCATCTCATCCACTACTCTCAGAAGTCACCCTATCACCCTGTCAGCTTCTGTCTACTTTCCTTTTGAAAGGGAACTCAGAGTTTTATGTTAAATAGAAAATACCATCAAAAAGTCTCTGAGTGTTTTATGAGTATGTCCTCATTTTGAAGAGAAGGAAATGCTAAATCCTTACTTTATCACTGGGGAGATTGAGCTACATGACCCTCGGCTATTCTCAGTGTTCATCAATGGTCCATCTGGTCTCTGTGATCCAGTGTCTAGTTCCTGGTCACATATTAAGAATCCTTCTTTTAACCAAACATACAGTAGGAAAGAGAGTAAGTAAGTGGTGATAGAGTAGCATCAGGAAGAGGAAGTATGAAAAAGAAAGAAATGCATTAAAGTAAGAAAAGACTTGTTAAGCAATGGAACAGAAAGTTGTGGGGAGGAGGTTATCAGTAGTAAAACAAAAACGTAAAAAGTGCTTGCTTTGGCAGCACATTTCCTAAAAATTGGGATGATACAGAGAAGATTAGCGTATCCCCTGTGAGGATGGCACACAAATTCCTGAAGCATTCCATATTTTAAAAAACATATAAAAATGAGTGACTTGTGGAGCTTTGTTTGTTTTAGTCTGGACCTGTAATTTTGTTATTTTAAATGAACTCCGGTACAGAAATGACAATTATTTATGCAGATATGCAACTTGTGTATTAACTTAAATTCTTAGAAAGTTTTATGAGGATATTAAAAAGTTAAATGTTTTGCCAGTGGTCCTACTGTTTTCATATATAAGACACAGGATGTGAACTGCAAGCTTGATCCTCTATCAGCTACACTATGATGACTTTACAACTTACAGCCTTTTGAATTTCACCTAAGATGTCATTAGATTAAAAAATGATTTTGTGAAATCATCAGTCATTCTGATTACAAATCCTGATTTTGGGGGATGGATTGGAGACTAGAATACAAAAAAGCATTTATTCCAAGAGGCTAGTTCTGGAAGTTGTGACAGGAAAGAACTATAAATCAATGAGTCACTACAAGAAAGGAGACCTGAAATGAATAGCACAGGTAGAAATTGAAAAGAGGATACCTATTTGTGTATGGAGATACACATGAAGACATGCCAAATGATCATACAAGTCAGAGCCAACCAGAACCTGGAATCAAATGGAAAGAGAATTTCCACATTGACAGTGTCTGAAAACGCATTTCTCATTCCGTAAATTAAATCTACCACCTATTTTTCTTGAGGTGGGGAAGCATGGTTCTGTATCATTTCTCTGGAATTGTGGATAGTCAATGCATCAGTCAGCATTCTGAAGTCTGTCAAAATTTTCATTTTTTTCATTGATGTTATTGTACAGATTGTTCTCATGGCTCTGGCTCATTTTACGTTGCATTAATTCATGCAAGTCTTTAGAGGTTTCTCCAAAACCATCCCTTTCATCGTTTTTAAGGAACAACTCTATTCCATTCCATACTTGTATCATAATTTGCTCATCCATTTTTCCAGTTGATGATACTCCCTTAGTTTACAACTCTTAGCTGCTTCAAATAAAGTGCTACTATAAATATTGTTGTACATATGGGCCATTGTCTTCATTATTTAGTCTCTTTGGGGCATAAACTGAGTAATCATTTCACTGGGTTAAATGGAATTCAGAGTTTAATGAATTTGAAGCATGGTTCCAAATATTCTTCCAGAATATCTGGACCAATTTGTAATTCTAGTATGGTGCCTTACTGTGCTTGTATTCCTGTAGCCCCTCAAACAATGATCATTTTCCTTTTTGTCAGTTTTTCCAACTTTTTACTTAAGGGAAGGAACCTTAAATCATTTTAATTTTCTTTGCCCCAATTAGTAGTGATTTGGCTTATTTTTCGTATGGTTGTTGATGTTAAGTATATCCCCAGTGCTTAGCACAGTGCCTGGAATATAGTATTTAATTAATAAATGGTAACTGATAGATTGACTGATTACTTTGGGAAGTACACATTCATATCCTTTGAACATGTATCTATTAGGGTATGGATCTTAATCCTATAAATTTAATTAAGTTCCTTATACATCTTAGATACGAGACCTTTATCAAAGAAATTTGTGTTGAAGATTTTTCCCCAGTCAACTGTTTCTTTCCTATTTTTTATTTCATTGGTTTTACTTATATACAAATTTTAAATTATATAATCAAAATTGTGCATCTTATCTTTTGTAATCTCTGTATGTTTCTAAGTGATCTTTAATATCTATGTAATGTATCCATCTAGAGCTTATCATGATATATTATGTGAGATGTTCATCTAAGTCTGTCACACTATGTTCTAGTTTTCCTACCAGTTTTTGTTCTTACAGTACATGGTGTCTTTGTGGTTATTAAACAGTATGCTACTATGTGTTTTGTACCTAGCCTGTTCAATTGATCAATCTTTCTGTTTTTAACCTAGTATCAAAGTATGTTTATTATTATTGCTTCATGGTATGATATGAGATTTGGTACTACTAGTGGATTCCATGGCTTAAGAAGGACCTTGGCAAGTTGGAGTGTACAAAGGAAGACAACTAGAAAGTAAAGCCAAGATAGTGGAGTAATAGTAAAAAGTACAACAAGCTCCTACCAAAAAAAAAACACAAACTCTTCCAAACAGATCTAGAAAATATAATAAACTAAATCCTGATGTAGAAATAATCAACCAATAAATATTTATTAACCTCCAGCTATGTTCTAGGCAGTGTGTTAAATGCAGGGCACACAAAAAGAAGCAAAAGACAGCTCCTGCCCTTAAGGAGCTTATAATCAAAAGGGGGAGACAATATGTAAATAAATAAATACAAAGTTTTATACAGGAAATTTTTTTTATTCAGTCATTTCAGTCATGTCCAACCCTTCATAACCTTGTTTGGATTTTTGTTTTTGTTTTTTAGCAAAGAAAAGGAGAAATAAGAAATGATTAAAAGAGTGAAGACACTAGAATTAAGAGAGGTTAGGACAGGCTTCCTGTAAATTCTGAGATTTTATTTGGGACTTAAAGGAAGTCAAGGAAGTCAATAGGTGGGGCTGAGGAGAGCATTCCAGGCATGGAGGACAATCAGAGAAAATACTTAGAGCCAAGAAATGGAGTTTCTTGCTCCTGGAACAGACAGGAAACCAGTGTCACTGGATCAAAGGATATGTGGCAGGGAGTAAGATGTAAGAAGACTGGAAAGGTAGGGCAAGGCTTATGAAGGATATCAAATGTCAAACAGAGAATTTTATATTGCATCCAGGAAGCAATAGAGTGTATGGAGTGGAGAAGGGGGGTGGTCATAACATGGTCATACCTGAGCTTTAGGAAAATGATTTTGTGATTGAATGGAGGATGGATTGGAGTGGGGAGAGAGTTGAAGCAGAAAGACCCACCAGCATACTGTTTAGTCAAGGAGTGAAGTGCTGAGAGTCTGCACAAGTCTGGTGGCAGTGTCAGAAGAGAGAAGAGTATATTTAAGAGACGTTGCAAAGGTGATACCAACAGGTGTTGGCAGCAGGTTGAATGGAAGGGGAAGGGTAAGAGATAATGAGAATTCAAAGATGACTCCTAGGTTGTGAGCCTGGAATAGGAGAAAATACAGTAATTTTTGCTAGTCCATGTCAACATGGAGAGACAGACAGAAAGGTCTGTAGACACTGGGGATAAAATATTTGGCCACTTCTTCAGAATGCTCTAAGGTAGTGAGGGGCTGTGTGCAAGGGCAAGGGGAAGACCTAGAACTGCACCTGAGTATTGCACGCAGGGTATAGGAACAGGTGCCAATCATCAGTTTTGTCTCTCACTACCTGATTCTGGGTTTCAGATCCATGACAGAGTAAGGAGGCACGAGGGGCGGCATTCAGGGTAGGGAGTGGTCAGAGGCTTAGGAAATATTTCGGAAGAGGAGTAAATTGAGAAGGAAGTAACAACAGGGGAGACTCCGACGCCAAAAGCAGAATGTGAAATATAAGGTAAGGTTCTCAGCCAAGAGGGTCAAGGGCAGGAAGAGGAATTGTGAGAGGTTTTAGGAGGAATGAACAGGTTTTAAGAAGGTACTTTGGGATAGTGAATTGATTAGGGAAGTATAAAAAAAAGATTTGCCTTCCTGCAGTAAGGACCCACTTGAGATAATATAACGTAAACTTTTAATGGACATAATAAGCAAAGGATATTATTTTCTCTAGCTTTGTTCAGCAGCATGTGAGTAGGAATGAAGATAACAGATGATGGGAGTCATACAAAGCTGAGTTTTGGTGAGGCAAGATCTAATATTGAATAAAGCCCAAGGGACTTGAAAAGATGAGAGTGAAGCACAGAACTCATTCTCTAAAGTGCTGAAATGGGGAAGATAGCATAACCAGAGCAGTTGTGATGTCCTGAGAAAGAATTGAAGGGATTGTTATTAGCAGTGATGACAAAGAACTGGGTTTGTGAGGCAGAGGGAGAGGTAGAATGACAATATATTATGATCAGATAAGGAATTCATGAATATGGATGTGGAACACTTATGGATGATGACAAGATCACGGACATAATCATCTCTTTTTGTAGCTGTAGTAGAGTGGAGGAGTGAGAAATAAGTACGTTGAAGAATTGGGAGATTAGTGTATTTGAAAGAGTATTATTTTGTATGTTGAAGTCCCCTAGTTTGAGGACAGGAGTTGGGAAGGATAGAAAGACTATGACCCAAGCATTGAACTCTTTGAGATAGGAAGGACAGAATCCTAAAAGTCTGTAGTCAACTACTATGAAAATCTTAATTGGGAGGTAAATATGCCAGGTGAAAGAAAAAATACTGCAAGCAGCCTGAAAGAAAGAATTCAAGTACCAAGGACCCACATTCAGGATCACTTATCATTAGCAACCAGTATAAAGGAGTGAGAGTGTGGAATTTGATATTCTAGAAGGAGAAAGATACAGACTTAAAGTCAAGAAAAAGTTCCCCAGTTCCCCTGGGCGGGGGGGAAGGTATTGCAATGAGATTAAAGACTTCTAGAGCTTCATAGAAACTTTGAATTTCAAATACAGGAGTTAAGAGGATTTTTTTAATGGGGAAACACAAATGAATAATCATAAGAAATTAAACAAGGATAAACTGCTTGTATGGAGAGATGATACATGTGTCCCTTCTGAACCCTATTATCAACAGGGGTCTTAGAAGGCATCCAATTAGACACATCCTGAGAGTAGTTCTGGTAGGTCTTGATGATCTTAAAACAAACTGAAAGATAAAGGAAGAGGGAAACAGATGGGGGAGGGGGCTTCAGAGGGAAGGAAAGGAAGATTAGGGAAAATGATCACACATAGTCAAGGTGTGCAAGTAAACATCTATGCAAACAAAGAGGACATGTGGGAATAGGCCAATATTTGAGCCTCACTCACATCTAAACTGGTCAGAGGAAAGAATACACACACAAACACAGTAAGAGTCTAAAATCCATTTTACTCTAGAGGGAAATAAGAGGGAAGGGGGAGAAGGGAGAAGAGGGGATTGGAGGGAGGGTAGAGTAAGGGAAGGGAAGTAGTTCTTAGCAAAATAAATGCTAAGGAAATAAGATTACAAACATTCCTG